CTACATCAATTATATTTATTTCCATCAACGTGGATTAACTTTAATCTCGGTTCAACTTACTCTTCGTGTTTTTAATTCTAAAGATTACAAAAAGACGAAAAGTAAGTTGAACCAAGATTAAAGTTAATCTAGATTGGTGGAAATTGACATTAAGACCGATTGTTCCACCTTTTAATAAATTTTACCTATTGGTAAATCTGACAATCCGCGCTTGTGATTGGCTAATCTTGCTACTTACCCAACAGGGTAAAATTTAACAAAAAGTGGAACAACTGGGCCTTAGTCATCCTATTCAATTGATCCAATTTTACTGTTCACTAGAAGAAGATAGAGAGCGATAAATTAAATCGAGATAAAAATTTATCTACATTGATAGAAGTGGATAGTATTCCTTAATTTGGAATCCTAATGCATTGTGGGTTGAATTTTCACGACATTACCTAATAAGAATACACTTGTTAACATCTTGACTGCTTTCAGCAACGTACAGTGAAGAGATGGCTGAATAGATTCGACAAGGAAGGCACGGTGGAGACACGGGAGCGTTGCGGCCGCAAGAGAGCCACTACTGTAGAACAAGATGAAGCAATAATTCGTTTAGCCACTCAAACGCCCATAACGGCGGCGAAGGCAGTGCTTCCTGCGTTAGGTCTCACCTGTTCCGTAGATACCGTGAGAGAAAGGCTGCACAAGGCTGGAATTCACAATTGGAGCCCTTCGCGCAAATACATGCAAAGGATTCCATTGGGGTTAATATTTTTAAGTACTCTAGTTTTTAAGTATTCTAGTTTAGATTTTTTTAATATTAGGTCTCTGTTCTTTTCAATTAAACTTCTTGCAAGGTTCAGCTTTTTCCTCTTGTTTTCTATATTGGAGAAAAAAAAATGTTCGCAAAGGTTCAACTGAAAAGAACAGTTGTTGTCTTGCAATCTTAAAACATGTAGTAATATGTATAGAAATACGTTAAAGACATCAAGCTCAATGACTTTTGTCCTTCAGTTTATACTTGATATAAAGATTATAACAAGCGTACAGATGTAACTTTATTTCAATTCGAAATTGTTTAAGTAGAATCTCTCAGATTTTAAATATGAAAAAGCAAGCATTTTATTTATAAGACTAGTTCTAAATAAGCTTTTAATATATCTGTTCTCTGATTATGGGATAAATTTTCCAGTGATGCAGACGGCGCAGCGATTCAACAGGCGGTATGGCGGCCGACCGGCACCCAATTAGGTAAAAAGAAAACTCCCAAAGACTCGAACAAGTCTGAGAGGAATGTTACGGTTAAAAAAAAGAATCCATCGAAAAAAGTGAGATCTCGAGAGGTGTATGCCGACGATGGTGCACCGACGGAAAGTTTAAAGCAGAATCAAAACACTGAGCAACAACAGCCACAACAACAACAACAACAACAACAACAACAGCAGCAACAGCAGCAGCAACAACAGCAAGAATTCGTGTTTCCTCAGCAAAATCTTCCTCCACTGCCTTCCGCTCCTCAAGTCACCGAAATGCAACCCTCTGTATCTACGAGTCAGACGGAGTTTGGCAACGCGTTGAGTCTAGTACAACAACCGCAGCCCATCTATCAGCATCCAGGATTGAATATGGTACAAAATTGGCCGTTGGATTTGGTGCAAGGGAGTCATCATTATCCACAGGTTCGTTTTTTTATTATTTTTAAGACAAATATATGCATGAACGATATAATGCTTGTATATATTATCTACAGGGACAACCAAATCCCTTGCCTCACGAGCATCCACCACCGCCGACGCAATTGCAAGAGCTGCACACACAGCAGGAACAGCAACATCACGCGCAACAGGCCCAGCAGCACGTGCAGGCACAAGTACATACGCGACTACAAGATCAATCGCATCAGCAGAATACTCAGTCTCATCATCACAGTCTCGATCAGCAGCGACTGACCGTGGAGCATCAGATTCAACAACATCAGCACTTGCAATCCGGCAGGCGTCCTAGTCCCGAGCAGACGAACGAGAACGTAGGATCGGACACGTGTAGTTCTGGCGATTCATTCGTTTTAAGAATCAGTCGTTCTAATAGCGAGTCATCCTGCGAATGTCAACAGAATAAGAAATCGTCGCACAAAGGCCAGAAATCGGAACGGCAGAAAAAAACGAAGAAAGGCGGCAAAGCAAAGGGAACATTAGAAACTAGCGTGGAGATCAGGAATCGTATGATCGGAATGTCCGAGGCTGGACTGTCCACCTTGTCCATTGCGCTGGCGATCGATAGATCGGTATGTCGAAAATATATATTGCTCTTACTAGATTTTAAGTTAAGTTAAACATAATTCATATATTATACATCTCATCTATTATAGATCTCTAGATTATATGTGAATAGTTATGAAAGTTGTATTACAAACTCGAGAAAGTTAACACAAAAGATTTACATGGACATGATTTTGAATTAATCAGGAACGTACTGTTAAAAGATGGTTAGAACGTTGGCATAAGGAAGGCAATGTACAAACGAAGGAACGAAAGGGTCGACGTAGAATTACTACCAAGGAACAAGATGAGGCCATCGTCGCGATGGCTACTCAGCATCCTCTCACCGCCGCTAAATATGTAGCACCTGCGCTAGGTCTTAAATGCAGCGTGGATACAATTAGAGAGAGGCTTCACAAAGCTGGGATACACAGCTGGAAGTTGGGCAAAAAGCAAGGGTTAGATAAATTATTTCTATAATTTTTTTTTTAATGTTCTTTAGGAACTTCTAAAAAATGTTTATAAAGAAATTCTCTCTGTATTTGTTGAGAAATATATTTCTATAATTAAAACGTATTCTAATTGCGAAACATTGTTTGTAATATAAAAACAAAATGTTATGTATTTTTTTTTAGTGAAGGCAATGCAGTCCACACAGTCCATTTGTGGCAGCCTAGTGGTAATCGTCCTAACAAACCGAAAATGCCGGGAGAAAAGAAGAAGAAGAGTAGTGATAAGAAACGTAATCAGATAATGAATAACAATCAAAAACGTATCGTGCGGAAGAAGAAGAGTAACGAGCCGCCGCCACTACCAAAAGCGAATTCACCTCCAGCAAACATAATACAGGAACAACCTGCATTACCGTTCCATAATCCTGGAAACAGTAAGTGTTAAATAATAATAATAATGTTTCCTGATAATATACATGAGGAAAAAACTATTATAATTTCTTTAAATCACTTTTTAGTGGGAAATTATGTTTCGGGTCCTAACATAATGCAACCGGTGCATAATATTGCCGCACCACCTCCCGCACTGCCGCAACCGCAACCACCTCCGCCACCACCAGCACCACAACTGATGTCGATGGGCCCAATAATGCAACAGAGACCGGACTGCAGATTGGCACCGATAGTTCCACCTGTGTCGGGCCCGAGCAATTCCGGCGTCGCCTATCCATCGTGCATGGTCGGCGGCAGTAGTCACGCCAGTCACATGGAGCAAGCAGACCCTCTAAATTACGAGCCATATATTTGGAGTTTTTAGACACTCAGTACGACAATCTAAACTGCATATGTAGGAAAAAAAAATTGAAAATTGAAAAGTTTAATTGCGTTTAAACAACTTTCGCTTTATTAGAACACCGCAAAATTATGTTTTTATGGAAAGGGTTCCGGCAATTGAAAACGTTTGAGAATCAGTGATGCAGAGATTTTGTCAATGCGATTAAGATAAATATTTTAACATTACGACTTTTATGTGCGCGATTTAACTTATACATAAATTGCAATATTAGAAGATACGTCTATGCATGTGCAAGAAGAAAATTCGATAATTTTATTGTTATATCTAAGAAAAAAATATTTAAAGACTTTAAAGAGAAACTTTTATAATACCATACAGCGTTTAGACCAATTTAAATCAACATGAAGACTATAATATGTATATATAGAATCGTATAGAGTAGAGCAAAGACATACGTCACGTTTATTTTGCTAAATATCGTCTCTTTAAATAATGTGCAGTCATAATTAAATCATTGTATATTAAAAATTGATTTTTATACAATGCGATCAAACTTAATTGAATTAAGGTTTTAACATTTATGTTGTAAATATCTTTAACAGCTGAAAGAAAACATGATCTGAATATCAAATGAATTTAGATATAAATATCAGCTGATTCGGCATACAAACTACTTATTAATAGTTATGTAGAATAGAAAATCCAAGAAATTTCTTAACGAATCCAGTGATAGATATATTTTCGATATATAACTCCTATTCCTTTTTTGAGAGTTATATATAATATAAATGATTTTACATAGTATACGTTCTATATATTTAATTCATATATATAAATCTACTTTAAAACTACAGTACAAATTGGCACATTTCAATTAGAAAAGTGTAGCAAATCAATTTCAAGCAGGCTGTCAAAATACATCCAATGTGCAAACTCCTTTTCTCTATGATATTCGTACACCAATTTTTTTATGATTAATACCATTACATTATCATAAGTTTTATATCATCGTTTCATATACACAAATTTTTCTTTTAATGCAGCATCCAATTAAAGATTGGTATTTGTTATATAGTTTTTTTGAAACAAAGCAGCATTAATATTCGTCCGCATACAATTACCGGTGGTACAAATGCAAAGTAGTGCACTAGTTACACGAAAAATGTGTGAGATATGTAGATAAATTTCGTTGGCATTTCAAATGCCCATCTTCCTTCATGTATTAAATAGTAGAGTATTGTGTACTCATATCGAGTGAGAATGTGACCCGTTGTATTTTACAATACATGACATTACGTCAACGATAATATAATCATGTATTGTATATATCACACGATTAATAGAAATATTTTCAGCTACTTTCACTGAGATCTCCATCCCGTTTTGTATTTGTTTTATAAGGGAAAATAAAAATAATTACTAGACTCATTATCCATACTGTAAATTGGTTTCTCTTCTTTGAGAATAATATAAATGAAAAGAATAATATAATAATACCTTTTTGTACAGAAAGGGAACACTAATCTAGTCAATTGACTTGCATGATCACATGTAGCTTTACTTCGAATTATAACTACAATTTCGCTTTTTATCACGTGAGCTCCCAGATTTGCGAGACGTTATTTACGACCGCGTTGGGGTTACTTTTGTGGAACATGAAGTATCCCTGAATCTGTGCCGGACTGACATTTTTCTTGAAGGACATGACGCTGCTCGCAAATTCCTTTGCAAGTGCACCAGAATCCTTGCCCGGTTCCTTGTAAAATCTTAAAAACATTTGCTCGACCTGATTTGTACTGCACCATCCTGAAAGATAGCATCGAAATAATTATTTAAATTCGTTAATTATATTTTTAGTCTCTTATTTTTCTTTACATACCGATATATTCTTTTACATCGACTCTACCCGGTCTAACGAGCGCAGGGTCTAATCTATCCAAATAATTAGTCGTCATAAATAATATTCTAGCTTCTGTAGAAGCCACACCATCCAAACAGTTTAATAGACCACTGAACGTTACTCTAGTGAGACCGTCGTACGCTGCCTTAACTGAAGTTGAAAGCAAAATATGAGAATAACTAATTTATTTATTGTTCTAATACCTTATTTTGTGCTTCATAAAAGTCATCTCTACCTTCTTTAGAATCTTCCCTACTGATAAAAGCGGCATCGATATCCTCCAGCAGGATGATCGTTTGCTGCGGTGCTACTGCTAATAAGTGATTCAGTCTGTCATCCGTCAGACCTCTTTCGGATAAATTTAAAACACAAATACCGCGTTCCAATTCTCCGGCCAATGCGGTAATGTACGAGGACTTGCCGCATCCCGGAGGTCCATGTAACAAATAGCCTCGGCGATATGGTATCCCTAGAAAGATTGTAGTTCTTAATTCTTGGAAAAATGTATGCATACATCACTTTCAATCTGCTAATGAATGACATCGGACGTTTTGTGTTTAGAACAGAAAATAGAAATCTTATAGTGAAAATTCTGTTAGTTTTAGAAATTCTGTCACTTGCACTACACGAGATTAATATACATAAAGGCTACTTTATATAAAATATCTAAATGCAGTGGCATAATTAATTTTGACAATGAAATAATATATATATATTATATAACACTAGCATTACCAATGTTTTTTATTCACTAAAAGGAACAAGTGGATAAATTATTATAAAAACAAAGAAAATAATGAAAAACTATTTTGTCAATATAAAAGACATAATTAGTTAAAAATTGAAAACTTTAGAATCCTATCTTCTACACAATATTATTAATCTAAAATAGAAATGTTCGATAATGACCGCTCTTATTTGTAGCATTAAATAACAAGACAATATTTGGGTATTTAAAATATTTATATATCTTTACATTAGCCTCACTAATTTCGCATCTAGTTGCTTTTAGTAAGCACTATCTAATCTACTGTAATGTAAGTGACTGAACTAAATTCACTATTAGATTTGATACCTCTTTCGCTGTACCACGATGGATTATTGATGAATTCCCGACAATCGTTTAATATCTTCTCAGATACACCGGTATCTAGGACCACCGATTCCAGCGGTCTTCTCTTTCTGGCATGTCCAAACTGTCGCCATTCACTCCCCATGGCAACATACATTATAGTCTTTCCTTCGTGTTCTTTCAAAGCCATTTGTCTGGCTGTACGAATTAAGAATTGCTCTGATTTTCTGATGTTACGTAATGTGTCTGTAAATATTTTAACAACTCAACCTTCTTCGAGAATATTAAAGTATATGCTTCTGTCTTTGCCAAACGCCGTCAACTGTACAGTTTCCCATGGTACACCCATATGTAGATCTAAAGTCTGTTGCTCCCTAGTTCTTTCTACCTTTATCCAGTTGCCTTTATATCTGTAGAAATTAGGAAAGATATTGAAGACAGCCAGAGTCAAGCTGGAGAAATTCCAACTTTAGTTTGAAATAAATTAATTTAAAATAAATTGTAATTAATGTAGAGTGCTTTTCATTTGGTGAAACAAATGTTGCTCTGTCTTTGTTATTCAATGCATTTGAATATCAAGAAGGATAGAATAATGTTTATGTCGACTTATGTCACTAAATTGCATCTAAATTTTATTTTTTAACAGAAAGTAGCATTTGAAAAATTCGGCCATATCCTGACCTGAAAAAGTGAGTTCCTATGCTAGGAATAAAGTCATATTTGGTTTTTACATGACCAGTCTCCCTCTGTTCGAAGCTGGTTTCCACAGAGAGATGTTGTGTCTTTTGTGCGCCTTTGTGCGTGATCCATTGTAGAAGCCACTGGTAACTCTTATCGCGGCATGGAACTTCCAGAGTGATCATATAATGTCGTCTAATAAAACAGTAACATATTAAATTAAATAAACAAACTTTACTTAACAAATACAATAAATATTATAAAAAATTTGCTGTATAAAGCAAGTATTTGTACCTAAATAATACAGCTCCAATCTGAACGCCTTTCCTCAACAAGGCAGCTCCAGCTCCAAGGCCAAATAAACCAAAACCAGCGCCGAAGTAAGGATTATCAGACAAAGCTTGCACGTATTCAACAAGTGTCATGATGCAATTTGCACAGATAGTAACATAAAAAATGTATTACAAATGAGAATTAACAATAATTAACAATCTCTCTCAGAATTATGCAAATAAATACAATAAGAGTTAAAGTATGGAAGTATGTTGTTTCACTGGATGGTGAAGTTGCATCTTTAATCTTTCTTCTACGAAGTATATAATGTCTTGGATAATTATTTAGAATAGCCTCCCTATCTAAAATTTTAATAAAAATATATTTATTTGACACGTTTTCACTCAAAATGAAAGAATCTGGCGAAAAAACAGCGGTCGGTTTCGTAAATCGAGTTATTAAGCTTTAAAGTTAGATACTTTAAGGGTTTAAAATATTTGTCATTCTGATTTGATATAGCACTACGTATACGTTCTGTTTTAATTACACAAACTCACTGCTTTAAAAACAAATTCTCTGCTTTACAAATACAAATTCACTGCTTTAAAAACAAATTCTCTGCTTTACACAAATTCACTGTTTTGAAAACATAAATTCACTGCTAATGCAAAGAAATTGTGTGCTTAAAGCAGTGAATTTGTGTAATTAATGCAAAATACGTAGCGGATGTATCAAGTCGCGAGGACAAGTATATATATATCTTAACCTCTAAAGTCTCCAAATTTAACGCTTAATATCTCGGTGGAGCAGAGCGACGCTTATTTCTGATTTTTTCATTTCATGCAAAACGCATTGAATAAGCCTAATTTTATTGATTTTTGAGGTGATTCTGCTAAACTGTATAATTACCAATATTACATATTTAGATACAAATTCGCGAAAAATTGTCGAGGGCACGTCACTGCGAGTCGCGGTCTTTTACGTGCAGTGCGTTATTCCTCGCGTAGTGGAGAACGAGAACGAAAGGAAAACGCACGGCGGAGTACACTGCAGTATTATGTATGTATGTATGTACGCGAGAGAAAAGCCGTCACGTTCTTCTGCGATCGGAACGACCAAGTGAGAAACTGATCTCTCGTGGATGTGGCAAAGACTTTAAAGCTTTCTATCTTTCGATAATTCCACGTATTTATCTGCAATCGCTGCGCAAATACCGATTGTAATAATAATCGAACTACTGATACCAACTGTGGTATCTCCTCCATCATAGTAGTTTCCTCCACCATAATGAATAATGGGAGTGACTCATCTTTCTTCTTACCACAATGATGGCGACCATTAAGTAAACGTATTGCGAGATGTTGAGTGCATTTCGGGTCGTTTAGACTAGACAGTCATAAAAATTTTTGAACAGCAAAACTGTTGCGTGATGCTGAACGCAAAAATGTAGTCAACGTTACTGGTTGAATAAGGATAGTGCCTATTAAGCGCTTCCTGTCCAATGGATCCTGTTAACTGATATAAACAACTGTATTCAACATACTAAGTCTGGTAAGTGGTAATTCTATTAACTAGAATTGAGTATGCTATTTAGATTTGCTTTGTCACCATACTCACTGCTATAATGCCTGTATTGAAACTATTGAATAAAGATTTTGATGATTAATCCATGTTGACCTGTTTTAATTTACCAGATTAGGGACAGGAAGTGATGATCGACAGAATAAATAGCGCACTGTAGACAGCTCAGTACAGCAGTGAATATCGCAACACAAGCAATAATACTATTATGGTTTATCTGTTAGAACTGCTTATCTGTTGTTAGTGTTGTTTATCTGTTACTGTTAGTATAGTTTATGTATAGTATTTACAGATTTATGTATAATATTTACAGATTTATAAATCGTATTAATTCAATAAGTGTTAGTATTGTGCTTATCCATTAATTCGTTTATTTACATTTTTTTTTTTTTTTTTTTGGTAGACAATGGACAATTCATGGCAGCCAAATGAATACCGTCCAAGTCTGTTTTTTAAGAGAAGTCTGATTTTTCAGACTTTTGTTTTGATGAATACTGGTGGTGGCAGCATACTACCAGACCTAGTATGCTAAAACACAGTTGTATTATTTTGTATCTGAGCCTGTATTGAACTATTGAATAAAGATTTTGATGATTAATCCATGTTGACCTGTTTTAATTTACCAGATTAGGGACAGGAAGCGTTTTCTTCACCAGTATCAGACTACCGATCCTCTACCTCCAGTACGAGGATCCGAAATGCTCATCTATATTCTATTCTTATATAGGAATCCTATTGAAAACAAGTGCTTTCGAGAACTGAAGGATTATTTGTACTAATTTGATTTCCAAATTTGATGAAGACAAATTTGATAATAAATTCTATTTAAAGGCAAAGAATTAAAGCTATGCAATTTGCTAAAATTTTAATAAAAATATAATCAATTAACACAGACATTATATAACTTTGACAATTAATTTAAATAATCTGTTAAATACAAAGTGATAGACATCATGTGACTGATAACTGAACTAAAATTACACTTGCCAGCGCTACTTGCGTACCAAAATCACAGCATACACATAGGATACGCGATATCATTTTATCCTTGTTGTCATGAAACATTAAACAGGGACGAGATGATATGATGATGGGTACGTCGCAAAGGTGTATTAAGTGGAACATATATAACAAAAAATAGGTTCAATGTGTGGTAATTTTATTATTAAAATATTAATATACAATAAAAAAATACACAGAGATGCACAAGTAATACACTTCCATACTACAAGTTTGACAGTAAATACTAAATAAGTACAATATTAACATAATGAAATATTTCATACATATATTACATTAGTAGGCAAGAAGATACACTACACGAATCTGGATACAATCACTATTAGTTTAATATAATCTACTTCTTTGCTGTGAGTCTGTTTCTGCATTTTCATTCGGAGTATGTGTGAAATAGACATCTGTATTCTTGTACCTAGAGATGTGTCGTTGTCGTCTATGAGTATCAGATTGTTGCTTTCAAACTTGAGAACTTTAGGGACCTGTTGTTATTTCAATTCAACCAATATACAATTTTTTTTTTGCCTCTTATAGCAACTAAATTCTATCACCTGAATAATACGTATAGCAATGTTTAGATAAATTTCCTATAAAATGATAATATCTTTTATGTAGTCTAATATAATATCTTTCATTTATTGTATTACCGATGTATCCCGCCCCGCGCTTGTTGTACATGTGTATGCAATGTGGTGATCTGCCCTTCATCACAGCTTGCTTCGCTGTTATCCATTACTTTCAATCGACTCAATTTAATTATCTGACTTACAGGAGTTGAAGTAAAAATGTTTCTACTTGGAACACTTGATATCAAAAGGCATAACAACGTTATTGTTTTAATATCTCTTTAGGGTAATTTGAAACATTATATAATATAAAAACATTATATAATATAAAAAATTGCATAATATTTAATATTACAATAACATTCGTGGCAACAAAACCTTCCTCTTAGCAGAAAGAAAATAAATGACGTTAGAAACGATAAGTTAAACGGATTTTTTTTTCTTAGATATTTTTTTATGATAACTATTATAGAATACAAATTTTCTCGTTGACAATTCTAAGTCTAAAATCAGTTTGGAGTATTTAATCACGATAACTTCTCTGAGATAAGAGAAACCACAACAATTTTTACATAACCTCAGCTTTGCTTAGGATATTAAACTAAAATCATTGACGGTGCGTAAGTATGATGATACGGAAAATGGGACTTTTTGTTGTCATGAATAATACGTCTCGAGAGAGCGTTAATGCATTTACAATAACTCGGCATTCTGAGAGTTTCCACGAGATTCAGCACGAGTAAAGATTCAAAGGAACAAAACAAGGATTCGCTTTCGTCTGTGGAGTCCAACATCCAGGAGGAACCTGCAATACAAGTAAAAGAGAATGCAGAAGCAACTCAGGAATCTCAAGCGAAATTGAGCGGCTCTGTGCGAAGTTACGAAAAATTCTCGCACATTGACGATAAAAAAACTAGAAACGCCACAAACATTCGTTTCCTTAATTTACATCTCCAAATTTGCCGATATAAATCTCTCCTTTTCATAGTGCGTACAATTGTTTGATTGCTCTTTAAATACATATTATGTATTTAATATTAAATTGTTCACACTAGGAAATATTAAATACATATTTTAATATTAAATATATAATTTTTTTTTCAGTTAGATGATCCGGAAGGAGAAGTAACTGGTGAGATACATCATGTGATTGATGATGATCTATATATTGATTTTGGATGGAAATTTCACTGCGTTTGTCAGAGATCTGTCAAGAAGTTAGAGATCTGGATAGTACGTGTAAATCTATTTTTTTCCAAATTACTTCTTATTTATATTTAATAATATTTGCTGTATATCAAATATACTGATGAATATTGTCTTGTATATTGTTATTTTGTTCTTTATTTTAGGTATTATGTAAGAAGATCTAAGGTTTGATTAAGGATAAAGGATTTTGAACTTCTTCCAAATTCTTAGGCGCTGAAACAGATGTAACTCTTATGGAAGCTGATTGCACTTTAATCGGTTTAATATTGTCACCTTTACAAATGAAGAACAAAGAATAACGACAACCAGAAGGCTGAGAATGAGATATTTAATAATTATTAACGTTATTTTGTAATATCTATGTTAAATAAACTGTAGAATATGTATGTTAGTAGCATATTTTATACAAAACAATTTTGTACAAAGTAATACAGCGTACATATATATCACGTCGTTCACAAGTCTAATTTTTTAGAAATACTATGACTTATTTGATACTCTAAATAAGTCTTGAACAATTTGTAGTTGTAAATATAATATGTATATTCCACTATATTCTTATTACACTTTCTGTCAAGTTAATACAATTTGTATGTCCATGATATACAAATATCATAAAAATACAAATAATATAACTTAATATATATAAATTGTGTTTATATATATTAAAGTCTTATGTGAGAAAGATATTTACATATTTTTCATATTATTCTGTATATACCAGTAAATGAGGATGGATTAAAATAGATTGAAATTTTATCTATCTGTATATGTATTTAAATAACTTTTTTCTTTTTATTCAGTTAGATTCAATTGGATTAAGAAACTATATTTTTTATTTAGAATTTAAAATTGATCGTTCACGAGGTACAAAAAAACAATTACTTTTAAATTGAAAGATATAAAAATGTGCTTCATCCAATTTGTTGAAATGAATAAAAATACATTCAGAGCAAAAAGGATTTATTTTAACATTTGCTAATGAGTATTTCCAAAAATGAAAAAAGCGCTCCCTGTCTCTAATCTGGTAAGTTAGATAATTAAATCATGCCGATCTATTCTAACTTATTATCAGATTAGAGATAAGAAGCGCTTTCTTCACCAATATCAGACTATCAGATCCTCTACCTCTAGTACGAGTATCCGAAATGCTTATCTATATTCTATTCTTATATAGGAATCATATCGAAAACAAGTGCTTTCGGGAACTGAAGGATTATTCGTATTACTAATTTGATTTCCAAATTCGATGAGGATAAATTTGATAAATTCTATTTAAAAGCGAAGAATTAAAGTTATGCGATTTGCTAAATTTTTAATAAAAATATAAAGCTTAACATAGACATAATATATAACTTCGACAATTAATTTAAATAATCGTTTAAATACACAAAGTGATAGACTCACGTGACTGATAATTGAACTAAAGTTACATTTGCGAGCGCTATACTATACATATCAAAATCACAGCATACACACATACACATGCATAGGGTGAAAGACTCCGATGAGATACTATTAAAGACTGACATCCTTACGGGAGTTCGCGTCCTTGTGAATATTGAAGTAACTAAAAACTGATATTATTGTACTAATTTTATGATTTATTAGTAGACGTATTTATGCATTTAGAACTCAATAATACTCGATTTTTCTTTAAAATTGTAATTTTAGTGTTATCTTCAAAGTTTGATTATCAACAGAGATGATAACTGCAGAGAAAACATTGTAATTTTTCTGCAATATATAGAATATTGTAGCTTTACAAGTATGCATATTTATTTATGGAATAACAAATCATGAATTTAATAATGTATGTGCCAAATATTTATGTTAATAATAGCAAATTTATATCAATTGTCGATAATGTTAACATTCTTCAATTATCTCCGGGCCCTTGGGACTTATACCGCCGAAAATTTGCCCAGGGTTAACGGTCTTTTATAATATCTCGTTTGTGGAGTGACTCATCTTTCTTCTTTCCATGATGGCGACCATTAAGTAAACGTGCGAGATGTTGAATGCATTTCGTTTAGACTATATAGTCGTAAAAATTTTTGAACAGCAAAACTGTTGCGTAAGCTGAACGCAAAAATGTAGTCAACGTTACTGGTTGAATAAGGATAATGCCTATTGAGAGCGCTTCCTGTCCAATGGATCCTGTTAACTGATATGAACAACTGTTTTCAACATGGTAAGTCTGGTAATTCTATCGACTAGAATTGAGTATATTCCGTAGATTTGCTTTGTTACCATATTCACTGCTATAGTGATGATCGACAGAATAAATAACGCACTGTAGACTCACTGCAGCAGTGAATATCGCAACACAAGCAATAATACTGTTGTGGTTTATATTACAGTATATATTGTGTTTATGTGTTACTTATTATGTGTTAGTTGTTACTTGCTATGTGTTAGTTGTTGTTTTTTTATGTATATTATTTACAATTTTATAATTCGGATTAATTCAATAAGTGACAATATTGTGAACAGCTTATCCATTAATTCGTTTATTTACATTTTTACATTATTTTGTTTTTTTTTTGGTAGACTGGACAATATTCATGGCTGCCACATGAATACTATCCAAGTCTGTTTTTTAAGAGAGAAGTCTGGCCTTTTACAGACTTTTGTTTTGAATTATGGCACCAGAGGAACTTGAACATACTACCAGACCTACTATGCTGAAACACAGTTGTATTATTTTGTATCTGAGCCTGTATTGAAACTATTGAATAAAGATTTTGATGATTAATCCATGTTGACCTGTTTTAATTTACCAGATTAGGGACAGGAAGCGTTTTCTTCACCAGTATCAGACTACCGATCCTCTACCTCCAGTACGAGGATCCGAAATGCTCATCTATATTCTATTCTTATATAGGAATCATATTGAAAACAAGTGCTTTCGGGAACTGAAGGATTATTAGCACTAATTTGATTTCCGAATTTGATGAAGACAAATTTGATAACAAATTCTATTTAAAGGTGAAGAATTAAAGTTAT